CCTAGGGGAGGCCCAGGATCCGTTCAGATAATCGTCACTGTGTGTTGGCCGTGAGCGGGAATCGAACCTGGGTCGCCAGGTTCGTAGCGCAGCGCGCTGACTACACTACCGCCCCCTCCCCCACACACGCATAGACTCTTCTCTCCCATACAAAGACAAAGATCCCCCGTATAGCCTTAACAGACCTCGGCGCAAGTACTCTAAGCGAGCACCTATAAAGACCGGCAAGGCAACCGAGGGGGTTGGTGGCGAGCACCACACGCACAAACACACACACCACACTTCTCTATTTCTCTTTCACTATCTCACACACACACACTCTCACTTCTCTCTCTGTCACTCTCTCATGAACATTAACTTCTCTGTCTCACCTACTTACTCACTTGCACGCACACAACAAAGACAAATGTCCCCCTGATAGCCTTAACAGACTGTTGGGGCAAGTGCTGTTAGCGAGCACCTATAAAGGCACACGAAGGGGTGGGTGACCAGCACTAGCCCCGGCCACCTTTGTCTCCCTAGTGGCCATGTTTACACATTGGACAAGGTACGAATTTGAGGCTAAGTCGACCTAGGGGAGTTCCAGGACCGGTTCAGATAATCGCCACTGGTGTTAGCCGTGAGCGGAAATCAAACTCGGGGTGCGCCGGGTTCATAGCGCGCTAACCGCCACACTACCGCTCCCCACACACACATACAGACACACACACACACACAGACACACACAGACACGCACACAGACACACACAAAGACACACACACAGACACGCACGCGGACACACAGACACACACACAGACACACAGACACACACAGACACACACACAGACACACACACACAGACACACACAGACAGACACACACACAGACACGCGCGCGGACTTCGGTGCAAACGCAGCGCGGAGTGATTCTATAGCGACACGTCAGGACTGTCGGTTGGCACGAACCCCTCTGAATATGTTCACGGGCAGGGTGCGAGTATCGGGTTCGATTTCCACGGGGGAGCCTTGACCCCCGAATCAACCCCTCCCCCCCCACTTTACCCCATCTACCCCCAAACCACGATCAAGGTTCACCTTAGGCCGACACCCCACCCCCCCCCCCCAGGTTTGTGTAATGTTCCAAACCTCCTTTGGACTTCCATTTGCGGCCATCCTCTATTTTTATCTCGGTTAGGTTCTGGAAACTCTTTGCTTGGAGACAAAACAAACAAACAAACAAAAACTCCGCGTCGAATTCGAGGAGTTTCACGACGACGGCGACAGCGCGCGGCGTTGCGGTGGGCAGAGGTGGAAAAAAGCCTGGGGCTCGTTCGAGTGTCGAGTGGAATTCTCATCGCCCCGTGGATGCGATTCGGTCAATTCTTGATTCACCTGGGTAATGGAGGGTGGGGGTGGAGAGGGGGGGAGGGGGGTGACCAAACCCAAAATAAAACTAGGGCTAATAGAACACGCATGCAAATTAGGAGATGCAAACTTTAAAGTTATTTTTTGGACGTAGGTGCAATGGGGGGTGAAGCGGCAGAATGCGTCCGCGTCTGGGTTCCATTGCTTCTTAAAGTAATCCTTGCCCGGCATGTTTGCTTGTCACGTGGTTCGCGCAGTCACTGACCGTGCGACGAGAGAGGGGCAGCTGATCATGAAGGCAGCGCTGCGTGCGCAAACAATTACTCTTCACGAACTCTCTCGTCGAAATCGCTGTTAAATTGGGTGCTCCGGTTTCCTCCAACAAGAATGATCTTTCGTGATTAATTTAGGACTTAAAAAAAAGCTTCTTTCTTTAGCATGCAAAAAACAATTTAATTTTACTCGTTCCAAGCAACGTACGATATATAATGTGCCCAAAGAAGAACATGTATTCAGTGTGTATATTCTTGCTGATCTTGTCAAAGAACGTAAACCATTACGCGAATTCCGGTCATCTTCACAGCTCGCGATTCGATCAACACATCACGCACTTGCAGATGCGCTTCTGAGGCCACCTGGAACGCTCTTCCTTCCGATGTTAGGAAGCCGCTGGATCTGTGCAACTTTTAAATTTAGACGGAACACTAATTTCTTTCAGAGCTGCTTCCTGTGTTTAGTGTGTCGTACTTCTCCCGCACCTCCGACTAGCGCGGCTGGCTACGTACGGCGCGAAAGAAGTCCGTACACGCACACGCACATCGCCCGCCACGACAACGCGTATCGACCAAGGGCGCTGAGCCGTCCCACCGCTCCTCGCGACGCGACGCGAGGAGCGGTGGGAGATGTGACTGTGGCGCGTCTTGCTGAAAGAGGCGGGGAGACGTGATCGACGGCGATCGTCTCATTACGCAAGAGCGCGACCTTGGGAGCACCTGCAGCTTTAGAGATGTCGGGCGACATCGTAAGTCGCGGGGGTGGGGGGCTTGGGCACGACGCGTCACGGCCACAGAGGCTGACGACGGCCGCTTTGGGTCGAAGATGACGAAGACGAGTCGAGGATGACGAAGACGAAGTCGAGGATGACGTAGACAGGTCGAGGATGAGGAAGACGAAGTCGAGGATGACGAAGTCGAGGATGACGTAGACGGGTCGAGGATGAGGAGGACGAAGTCGAGGATGACGTAGACAGGTCGAGGATGAGGAAGACGAGTCGAGGATGACGTAGACAGGTCGAGGATGAGGAAGACGAGTCGAGGATGACGTAGACGGGTCGAGGATGACGTAGACAGGTCGAGGATGACGAAGACGAAGTCGAGGATGACGTAGACGGGTCGAGGATGACGTAGACAGGTCGAGGATGAGGAAGATGAAGTCGAGGATGACGGTCGAGGATGACGGTCGAGGATGACGAGGATGACGAAGACGAGAGTGACAGCCCAAACAAAGGAGGAACACGCACGCTCCAGAGTACCTCCACTGCAGGCGCGCTCGACGGCGCGTTGTATCGTGACACCGCGAGAGATGGCGACGGTTTTTTTTGGGGGGGCAGGCGTTCATCCAGCAGTGGATGGATCATGACGCGCAATGATGATAGTCTCTGTGTGCCTATGTGTGTGTCTCTCTCTGTGTGTCTCTGTGTTGTCTCTCTCTGCTTGTGTGTCTGTCTGTGTGTCTCCGTGTCTGTGTTTTGTCTCTCTCTCAAATGTAGCAATCTTTGGAAGAACGTAATCAACCAGGTGGGGTGTTGACTGTTGTGTTAGCCGACTCTGTGTTGTATTGCATTGTATTTCTAAGTTTACTAGATTTGTTTTCTCTTTCACTTGTACCTGATGACGATTGCTTGTGTTGCAATCGAAACGCCGTATGCTATTATTTAATTTATTATTTCTTTCTACATGACTTTTACCGAAAGAACCAAAGAGTAATTCCTGCAGTCACGAAAGCTCCAAATCAAGTTTGAATGAGGAGGGTGTTGCAGTTGTGTTTGCCCGAACGTGCGCGCGTGCGCGCGTGTGTACGCGTGTGCGCGTGTGTGTAGGCGTCTCTATCTCACCTTTAATTTATGAATGGTGATTCGCCAGCCACGCAATGTCTTTGTCTGGCGTGTTTGGCATCTGTACGGGCCACTGTGGGGAGTGGCAGGACAAGGTCGTTATTTTGTTGTATCGCATCACGGCTGTGCTCATACTTGACCGGTCAGACCCTCATCGTCGAGGTAAAGGTTCAGCCCTGCAATGTCTTACTCGGGCCACTGCTGGCAGAAGGGTCTCGTCTCGAGTGAGCGCTAGAGGGGCCCTCTAAGACGAGAGGGCGTTTGGCTAACTCTTCCTTGCAAGGCCGGAGTCTTGCAAGAGGTTGGCGTACCCACACCTCACCTCACCACACACAAATTCCATGTTGGAGGCCAATACACGTAAAAAAAAATGTTATTGAGAAGTAGGTCAAATAATTTGTTTATTTGAATTATAATGTAATGGCAAATGCTTTTAACTTTTTATAACCATAATACAAAAAAATGACTACTTAATGACAATCACTGGCATCGTCTGCTCCGAATTGACGCATTGTGCTTTTTCTAAACTCTTGCTCCTGGATAAAACACGGCCGCGATTGTAATTGGACTCAGGCTTCAGGTGTCGCTTAGTATCCAGTATCGTCCACACATTATTCGACGGCATTCCAAGGACGTGTACATCTGTTCAACACGTAGTAGGCTTTCGCGACCAATATTATTTCTCAGATGTAAATGTAAAATGTGTCGTTAAACCCGCCAATTAGTAAGGATCGTCACGTAAACAAAACCCGCCAATCGTTACGAGTTCACAGCACCCCGCTTGTGTGTTGGAAAGTAAACCCACAACATTTACTATGCGAGTTCTGTGACGTTTCGCCGGTAATTAGGGACCGATAAATCTGTATCTTGTTGTGGATTGTGATATTTAGTGATAGGTTTTTACCCTTTCAACTGGTACAAAAACTGACACCTTTATTTTTTGTACCAGTTGAAAGGGTAAAAACCTATCACTATATTTTGCCACTGGTAAAGGAGGTCTCAGTGTAAATGCTTACCCCGAGCTCTCAATACTCTGATAGTGCGCTGTTTTTGAGTTGTACGCCTTTTGGCGTCATCTGGTCCAACACCAATAGAGACTAGGCTCTAAGAAAAGCTGTCTCGGGTGTGGACCAATCAACTTCAAGGACAGTGCATATCATTATCATCATCAGAGTTGTTTCTTTTTGTTTGCATTTTGACTGCTTGTGTTGTGGTTATTGCAAACATGATGCCTTGTATAAAGGTGTCAGTTTTCGTACCAGTTGAACGGGTAAAAACCCAATCACTATATTTTGCCACTGGTAAAGAAGGTCTCATGATTGTGATATTTTTTGAAAGGGGGGGGGGGGTAGCGGATTTCGTCCTTCTTGATCTTAGACGAGCGCTCGGTCCGCTCTGACCCATGTGGGGCCCCTGCCGCAGTTGCACCGCCTACGCACTCGATAGCTCACGTCCAACACGTCTGCTGCGCTCACCCCTCCCTCGTGTTCTCTCGCTATCTCTCTCTGTCTCTCGCTATCTCTCTCACTCTCTCTTTCTCTCGATATCTCGCTCCGCCAGTACATATACTAAAATGGGAACGATACAGCGAAGATTAGCATGGTCTCGGCGCAAGGATGACATGCACATTCTCCCTCGCTATCTCTCTCTGTCGTCCGAGATACCCCATCGCGTAAAACTCATCGGCCAAAACGGGAACACGCATCACCGTCGACAGAAGTGTGCGGCCAGAATGCGTTGCTCGCCGCCGCGTATGAGCCAACGCATTCACTTCGCTCGCGGGACACGCGTGGCCAGGCAGAGGGCTTGTCCGCTTCACTTTTGTTGTTGTTGCTGTTGTTGTTGGGGGGCTACCAGGGCGTAGAGTCACGACAACCGACGCAGGCTTAGTCGTACCCTCGATCGTGAGCTTCTTTGTCGGCATATTGAGAACGCACGTGTTTTTTTTTCATTTGAATAGAAGTCGTTTACGAACGCGTCATGGAAGTCTTTAGTTGTTTTGTGGGCTGAAGGGCAAGATAAGGGGGGTTAGCAGGGGGGGGGGGGTACAGACCACGGAACAACATGGGCCAGTGAAACACGTGCGCATACGTGACACACACACACGCACGCGCGAATTTTTAATGTATACCATCATCTATCCGCTGCTGGATGAAGACTTTCCGCCAAAAACTGCCGCCAACCGTTCCACGCGGTGCCGCGCTGCAAATATCCACGCAGCAGCTTCGCTCCGGGGATGATTTCATCGCTCCATCTCTTCGCGTGGCCCTTCCCGCTTGACCGTCACTCCGCGCGGAGCCTCCGCGACTTCCCTCCTTTCGCCACTTGTCCACAACAAGGCCACTTTACTCGTCTTAACAGTCAACGCGTGATGTCACCAACCCGCACATGTGCTTCTGCTTCTTCGTCTTCTTCTTCCTGTTTCTCATGTTACATCGCGGAACAATTCACGAGTTACGGACTGACAACAACAACAACAAAATGACTGGACGTTGTTGTTAAGTGTTTGGCTTCAGTACCAGCATTATCAACAGATGGAACAGCAGCAGCATTATCAGCAGCAGCAACAGCAGTAGCAGCAGCAATAGCAGCAGCATTATCAACAGATGTGACAGCAGCATTAGCATAAGCAACAACAGCAGTAGCAGCAGCAGCAACAGCAGCAGCATTATCAACAGATGTGACAGCAGCATTAGCATAAGCAACAACAGCAGTGGTAGCAGCAATAGCAACAGCATTATCAACAGATGTGACAGCAGCATTAGCATAAGCAACAACAGCAGTAGCAGCAGCAGCAACAGCAGCAGCATTATCAACAGATGTAACAGCAGCATTAGCATAAGCAACAACAGCAGTGGTAGCAGCAATAGCAACAGCATTATCAACAGATGTGACAACAGCATTAGCATAAGCAACAACAGCAGTAGCAGCAGCATTAGCAACAGATGTGACAGCAGCATTAGCAGCAGCAGTATCAACAGCATTAGCAGCAGCAGCAACAGCAGCACTTGCAGCAGTGGCAGCAGCAGTGGCAGCAGCAGTAGTGGCAGCAGTGGCAGCAGCAGCACTTGCAGCAGTAGCAGCAGCAGCACTTGCAGCAGTGACAGCAGCAGCAGTGGCAGCAGCAGCAGTGGCAGCAGTGGCAGCACTTGCAGCAGTAGCAGCAGCAGGCTCTACATGCCATTCCATTCATTCTGGACGCGAGTGAATGTTTGGAGGAGGCGGTGCTGGAGGGGAGGGAAACATCGCTGGCGATGCGCGACGTCTATCCTGGCATCGCCGCGGTACCTTCCCTTTGATTTCGCGGCGTCCGTCAGGCGGAAAGAGCGGCGACGGCGCGCCTTGGCATGGCTCGCGGAAAAATTACTCGGCTGGTTTAGCACGGGGAGGGGGGGGGGTCATGGGGGGGGGGTCTGTGACGACAAAGCGTCACACGAAGCGTCACACAAAGCGTCACACGAAGCGCCACGCGAAGCGTCACGCGAAGCGTCACACGAAGCACCACGCAAAGCCGCTCGCTTGCGCTGCAGGCGACGCTGCAGCAATTCGGGATGGGAATGTGTATCTGGACTGGAGGAATCCGAAGAGATGTGAAGCTCTTTCTGTTGTTTTATCGCAGGTGTCCAGTCGGGCGCAGGTCAGATGGTTACAATAACAATTAATACACAAAAACGATGGGAGTGCAGAGGATGGTCAAGGTATACAAACCACTTAAAAATATATATATACAAATGAAAATAAGTTCTTTTTGTATCTTACCAAATAATTGTATCTTACCAAATAAAGATATTCTTACCCCCCTCCCCCACCGCTGATGAGCACGGTTGGCTAGGTACGGTGCGAAAGAAGTTAAACATACACACACACACATACTGCCCACTGAGCTATTAGCTTCTGCTTCAGAAGCGACCAAATCTCCTGGCTGCCAGTCCCACGACGACCGATATTTAACGGGTTAAGTCGAACAAGAAATAATAATCACAATTTGCAATTCCTTTGCATCAATAATTAATGGAGCCGGTGCATAAATATGAATGAATATCGCACCCCCCCCCCCCCCACTTATGTATTCCTCTACCTCGGGGAAGGGCGCCACGGTGATTACGAGATGTTAACTACCTCGCCTGGTATACAGGAGGTCGTGGGTTCGATCCCGACCCTGACACCTGCTGTATATGTGCAGTTTGCGTGTCTCTCTCTCTCTCATCATCATCATGGTGGCTAGGAGATGTTAACTACCTCGCCTGGTATACAGGAGGTCATGGGTTTGATCCCGACCCTGATGCCTGCTGTATATGTGGAGTTTGCGTGTCTCTCTCTATCTCTCTCATCATCATCATGGTGGCTAGGAGATGTTAACTACCTCGCCTGGTATACAGGAGGTCGTGGGTTCGATCCCGACCTTTGACGCCTGCTGTATGTTTGGAGTTTGCGTGTCTCTCTCTCATCGTCATCACGGTGGCTATGAGATGTTAACTACCTCGCCTGGTGTACAGGAGGTCGTGGGTTCTATCCCGACCCTGACGCCTGCTGTATATGTGGAGTTTGCGTGTTTCTTTCTCTCCCCGTGGTCGTGTGGATATTTCTCCGGATCCTCTGGGTTTTCCCTCAACATTTAGAATACCGAAAGACCCAAATAGTATTTAGAATAGACATCACGCATTTGGAGTATTTTGCTGCTACACATTTTCACGCGATAAGCGACTACGTTGAGCTATCATTTGTGACCAGGTCGCTTCTTGAAAAATATCTATATAGTTCAATGGGCCTTACCTGTTAAAGTAAAAGTTGTTTAGTTTTTTGCTGCCAGAGAACGTTAGGGTTAGGTGCTACTTTGGTTAGGACAACGTGAGACCCAAACAAGTATATAAATTGAAAAAACTATCGGAGGAGGTGCCTGGGTGGATTACTGCATTTCAGGATCGTGAGAGGTGGTGGCGATTTGGGGAGGCGGGCTTCATCCAGCAGTGGATTGCACATGGTAGCTGCTGCTGATGATGACGATGCTGCTGCTGATACTGAAAGAAAACCTGGAAATTGTAAAAAAAGTGGGGAAATTGGATCTTGACAGTCAAGGTTTTCAGGGATATAGATGTATGCAAAGAAAACAATTATTGTCAAAAATAAATCAACGAGCGGGGATGTACGTGTGGGTGGCTTTCTCCGGGGTTATTCTGAGAATCTCCCACACGAAGCCAAACGCTCATCGACGGGATCGGCCAAACATCCCAATGTAGCGGGACCCTTCCCAGCAATCGTCTTGAGGCCAAATGAGGCTATTCTGCAGGCAAATGATTGCCAACATCATTGTTGTTATTATTACAATTATGATAACATTCGTGCGCGCAATCTACTACTCTAGTAACAAAGCTATACGCGTGGTATAAAAAACACATTCCATTGTTTTTAAAGGTGCCCTTCTCCACCCTACCAGCCACATGCCGTTCGTATTTGCTCTCTCCTTTATCGGCGTCTGCTCCGCCAGATGCTCGTGGAGGGCTTTGACCCTAAATGCCCACAGGCCGACGGACTACAAAAAAACTACAAAAAAACAAGACGGTCATTTTATTTTCACCAAAGTGAAACACGCCCTTGGGCTATTCATGTATTATTTCATTAACAACACATCTGTAACAAAACACAACGCGAAAATGTCACGAGGGAAAGAGGAAGTTGGTTGAACTCTCCAATGAGAAGCGGAGAAGATCGAGACCAATAGGGAATGGGCCCTTTCGTGGGTCCCGAGCCGCAGCTACGAGGATGACGTCACAAAGAATATCTCTCGATTTAAAGCTTTCGTGACTGCAGGGATTCATCTTCTTGGTTCTTTCGGTAAAGTCACGTAGAAGGGAAGTAATAAAATAATAAAAATACAACATAATAAAACAATTGTTTTATTATGTTTTATTAATAAAACAATTGTTTTATTATGTTTTATTTTTATTATTTTATTACTTCCCTTCTACGTGACTTTACCGTAAGAACCAAGAAGAAAAAAAAAAGAATATCTCATCTTACTTTTTATTTTATCTTGCGCCTTAAACCAAGGGGCCGTCCATGAATGACGTCACGCGATTTTGGACGATGTTTGACCCCCCCCCCCCTTCGTCACACGGCGTCAAAAAAAGTCAAACCCTCCTCAAATATGACGTCACAAAGCTCTGCCCCCCCCCCCCAAAAAAAATTGAACATGCTTCAAATCGCTTTAAACTATTGTCATTGTAGTGCGTATTTAATGTGGCACTGCACTCTGATGTTGTAGGAGAAAACATTTATTAAAAAGTCTATTTAATTAAGTAGAACGTGTTGTCTATATTTATTTAAAGTTGCGCATTTTGATGTGACGTCACATTTCTCAACCCCCCCCCTCGTCACACATCGTCACAAATGTCCGACCCCCCCCCCCAGGTGCGTGACGTCATAATCTGAACAGATTACAATTAGTCGCGTGGCTGGGTGAAGGCCTCTCCGTGCCATGTTGGTCACGGGGAGAGTTTGACCATGAAGTGCGTGCGGGGAGGGGGAGGGGCGTGTGTGTGTGTGGTTGGGTGGTGGAGGGCATGAGCGCGTTCACATATCACTCGCCACTGGCGGTAGATGTGTACCCGGAATCGAACTCGCGTGGCGAGGTTTGATAGCGCGGCACGCTAAC